TTGCTAAGTAGCGTAGGGTACCCTTGAACTCTGGACTCTCCTGCCTCAGCCTCCCAAGGTATGGGTACACAACTATACCCAGTTACTGTATTTATTATCAAAATATGTAACAATAAATGTTCAGCTAAAAGGAACAAAAGTCTATTAGTTAATTCTGCTCATCAATTTCAATGAATTGACAGAAGGAAGGCTTAAACTTATCAATAGCACAATTCAGGATTTTCTGCTGCACAAATTAGAAATCTGATGTTGAAAGAATCAACACAAAATTCTTAACTGAAAAATGGTAAATAAGAGAACAGATACAATGCCAGGTTTGGTGGCACACGCCTTTCATCCCAGCACTCGAGAGGCAGAGGCGGGCGGCTCTGGGTGAGTTCAAGGTCAGCCTAGCCTACACAGAGAGTTCCAGGACAGCTGAGACTACAGGAGATCCTATCTCAAAAGAGTACAGATAAGATACATACAATGAATGAAATTTTTAAAAACCATTAGCATCTCTTGCTTCCTTCCTCTCCAGTGAGTCATTGATCAATCTCTGGCTACATATTACAGAAAGAGTTAAGACATTTCCTTGCTTGCAGCCACCTCTTTCTAGCTAGGAGTTGAATCTAATCATCTCTCTGTCATACATTTATTTTTACCTATCAAGTCAATAATTTAAAAACAAGGAACAATGAACAGTGAAGCATGTCCTTCATAACAGGTGCGATAAGGCACATCTTGAATTCGTTTCTCCCTGTAATACACTACTTGCACTACTTGCATTTTTTCATCTTTCCTCAAAAGTAGTAAAATACAGTGGAGCTATCCATGTATTTTGATGAGCAATTTCAAAACCTACTTAAAAACCAAGCATGCTGGTACCTGCTTATAATCTTAGCACTTGAGACGCTGAGGCAGGAGGACTGCGGTGATTTCAAGGTTAGCCTGGGCAACATAGGGAAGTCTGGGCCAGTTCATATTACCAAAACCCTACCATCCATCTCAAAAAACACAAGAGAGTCCAGACTGTGACTCAACAGTAACACTTCTGCCTAACATGTGGTAGGCCTTGGGTTCAATTTTTTTTTAATCCTTCTCAGTTATTCCATAGTGTTTCCACTATGGAATAGTTATTCCATAGTTATTCCACTCAGCATTTCCCTTTTTCTCAAAAGATCCTAAAAGTAGTTAGCTGGAGGAGGGGGACTCTCAGGACAATAACTAGTAATTTTCCCTTGATGGTTAATATGGAAAACATATCCCATTGTCTCAAATGGATAGGGTAAAAGGCAGGACATCTGACACTGTTTGCTTGTTTGTTTTTTGAGACAGATTTCCCTGTAGCCCCAGTGGCCTGAAACTTATTATGTAGACCAAGCTGGCTTCGAACTTAGGGTCCCCAGAGGTTGCTCCCTGCCCCAGAGTTGAGATTAAAGGCCTGCCCACCACACCTGGTTGTCTTCCATGGTTGTGTTGGTTTTTGAGACAGGGCCTCACTTCTTAAACTTGGCTGGCCTTGAACCCTCAGAGGAGATCTACAAGTCTCTGTCCCCTGAGTGCTAGGATTAAGAGTATGCACCACAACACCTGGTTTTAAATAAATGTAGTAAAAATGACAAGAATGAAGAGTTACAATTTTCAGCACTAATCCTGGGCTCTAAACATAAAAAAAAACAGTGAAAAGTACTTTCATGTGCATATAGAACTTTTCTGGAAATTTCTCAGACTCCAGCAGAAAGATCATTTCTCAAAGTACATGTTTGTTTGCTTTTTCATACTTTACATATACATTTACATACATGAGAGTAAATACCCTGGGAACGATGATCTTTTGTTGGAGTCTTCCAGCAGCTTTAGGCCTGTCACTCAAATGATGCTCTCTTTAACATCAAGTTGTCTCCAACTAGTTGTTGCCTATGCTAACCTCTGGCCCTTCCTTACCCATACAGCCAACATCCTGCCACTGGGTATAGGACTATACAAACATTGTAAGCCTCAACTGTCTTAATCCACTGTGGTAAAAGGGGATAGGAATCCTTTATGAGAAATCTCTCATTGGGCAATCTATCATTCTGGGAACATCACAGAGTGTCCTTGCACAAACTAAAATGGCTTCCACCTCACTAGGTGATACAACCCTGTAGGTCCATTGTCACATATGTTGTCCATTTTTTTACTAAAATGATGTCATAGCGCACATGACTGTATGCTTTACCTTACTAAACAAACTCAAAGTAACAGTAATTTTTCTTTATCTACCATTTATTACAATGTAATGCTCCACCAGACTACATGAAACTTCCTTTAAGAAGCCAAATGTACTGGGCATGGTGGGATAATCTTTTAATCCCAGCATTCAGGGGCAGAGGCAGGTGGATCAGTGTGAGTTCAAGGTCAACCTGATCTACATAGTGATGTTCAGGCTAGCCAGTACCACACAGGCAAAAAAAAAAAAGACAAATGTACCACAGACTTGGGCTGTGGTTTCTCGTGCTTTCTGAAGTGTTGTTTCTGCCCTTACAGGCCAGGTGTTAAGCAGGAAGAAATGAAGTTTTGGAAAACATAAGTGAAAACATCACCACACTCCAAAACCTAAAAGAAATGTGATCATGGTCTGGAATTTGCTTTCCTTTTCTAATAATTGGAGCTACCACTGGCTCTCCTCCTGCCCCAATACACGGCACACACGCCAAACTGAAGTGGGAAAGCATTGGATAATTCATGTACATGAGAGTTAAATTATCTAGCTAACTGTATTCTTTTCCGAAAATTCATTTTCAGTACAAAAAGAAATTATAAGGAAGGACACTAACGTTTTGGAGTTTACTGCCCCCATGTATATTATCAGTGATCTTTCACATGCTGCTTATTACTACCCATATTTTACCAATGAGGTAAATATGTCACCTAAGGCCAAAGTCATCAGATACTTTGTTCCAGTCTTAGTCACTCCTTGAAAAAGCATTTGCTGCATACTTACTACAAGCCAATCACAACTCGTTTAAGTACTAGAGGTCTACAAGAGTGCAAAAACATCACCCCTAAGTCTCAGAAAACTTGTATCCTTGAGATGGAAGATAGGGAACAAATAGCCAAACAGGATATCAGAGTTCTATCAGTTTGCTACCATGATTTATCTACAGTAGTCATCAAATCTTTCTATTTTTTAAATAAAATCTTTTAAAATATCTATAACTGATGTTAAATATTTACAAGAACTAAATGGAGGGCCTAAATCCCAGTAGCAACTGCTAACATTGTGTCCCTCTCTTTTTCACTGAACCAAGCAACTGCATCTTCAAGAGCACTTCCACACTGGCTTGAATTTTATAGTTTCTACGTGAGCTATCAGAATGCAGAACTCCAACGTTGATTTTCATCCCAAATCCTATCTCTTACCCATTATTCATTGGGGCATTCGTGTTTTATTTGGAAGTGTTGAATTGCTAGAACAAGGAAGTGTAGTCACTTGACATAATGCCCCTGTGAGAAACACAGGGAGGTTTCAACACCCACATCATGAGGTCCCAGAGGTGCACATGCCATCCATTGGGCAATGGTATCCAGGCCTCATATGCTGGCCTGCAAGAATTGCAGAAGTAGGGTGGTCAATCACTACCAAGAAAGCCTGGTCTCCAGGCAGCCATTGTTATTAACTGCCATGCTCAACAATAAATTCCAAGACCTTAAACTTTGGAACATATGCAAAATACTAAGTTGTTTTAAGCAAAGAAGGCAGAGTTATTTACCATCTTCTTTCTCTCAGCTATTTATTCAAGCTGACTAAAGTAGGTTGGCTGTTTCTGAAGCTGCCTCCTGTGATATTTACGTGTTGTGTCACCTGGGTGGCCCCTGTCACTAAGATTTTGTGAGGAACTGTGCTTGTTGAGGAAGGCTGTTGCAGGAGTCTGGAATGAAGGAGGGGTGACGGAGGGTCTAGGCACCATCATATGCTAAAAGCAGCACTTTATTGGCCCAGCTGGGCCTTCCAGGCAAGCTTTCTTTTTCTAGAAGCAGTTACTCCGTGGAGAGCAGAGGCCGTTTTAAGTGCATCAGTGTACACCTTCCATGTCCCCCGCGGCCGGTCACGCCCCGGCAGCTGAGTCTCTCAAAGAAAGCCTCTTCTTCCTGAACAGGTCTCCCAGCCATGCCTCAAAAGGAAGCAGCTGATCTCATCTGACTAGCCACATTCAAAAGTTAAAAGTTTGCACAAAGTTTCACTGAAGTGCTAACACCCTGCCTCTGCTAGGTAAAGTATATCAAGTGTATCACAGCCTAGTCTAACCTGAATAAGAACAACTGTGCTCATCTTTCCTTGGTGGGAACAAATTCTAAATCTTCCCCGTTTCCCGCCACCACCACCACCACCCCCACCCCCTCCGCCACGCCGCAGCCCCAGAGTCGCCGGGGTCCCCAAAACCCGGAGCGGAAGGGTCGGCAGGACGCACACACCTGAGATGGGTCCTCACGCGCGAGGGAGCAGCGGGCAGAGGCGCGGGGTTCCTCCAGCCAGGGCGGAGTCGGCCTCCCGGGGAAGCAGAGTCAGCCCACGGCTGGCGGCGAGCGCGCGGGGATGTCACCGGGTCAGGCGGGGCCACAGTAATCCGACCCGCCCGCCGCCCCTCCCGGCCACTTCCCCCTCCCCTCGCGCCTCCGCCTCCCGGGGGCTGACCCCGCTCCGCCACCGCGTGCACAGTGACTCGGCGGCCCCGGCTTCTCGGGCCCGGCGGCCACACGCGGAAGTGCAGCTGGGAAGCCCGGGCCGCGCGGGTAAGGGGCGCCTGCAGACAGGCGGTGCCGCCGTTCAGGGCCCGAGACCAAACAGGGACCCCGGCGTACGCGGGCCCAGCCCGGGGCTGCCCACCCTGTGCTCTGCGGGACCGCAGCCCCCGCCGCAACAGCTGGCGGGCTGAGATGTGAGCTAGACCGGCGAAACCGGCGAGGTATCCGGTGTCCAGCGTCCTCCCCCGCCATCCGCCCCAGCAGACGCTGCCGCCGGCCCCCGGGCCCCTTACCTGCTGGCGCGTAGCCCGCCCGGGATCCGGCTCCCCTCGTCAGCAGCTGGCCGCACGCAGGCTTCTCTGGGCCTACGGATGCGTCTGCCAGGCGGGTGGACCCTGGGACCCGGCCGGCTGCCTTAAGCCCTGGGCTCGGCTCCCCCAGCGCGCTCTGCGGGCTCGCTAGGCCTCCTGACCCGAATGTCAGCGCGGAGACCAAGCCCTGTCTGTAGGGGGTGGGATGGTGAGCTACGGTCCCCCGGGCCCAGCCTCATACAGGTGGGGGGAGGGAGCGAGCCCTGGCTGCAGAGCCCTAGGCTTCCCACTTGCACCCCCCAAAACCGACCCTGCCCACTGAGCATGCCCAGCTCACTTGTTGCAACCCCAAGGGTTAGACAGGCCTCAGGGGACCCAGAGGGCGGGGAGTTCTAAAGTACCCCACTTTGTTAAGTCTTTTGAGTCCGTTCTAATACAGTTTCCATGGAGATATTGGAAAATAGACAGGAAAGATGCGAAAAACTTCCCGAATAAAGCAGCCAGGTTAATTTAAAGGAAATTTTAGCAGTGTTTGGTAATCAATTACTAAATCATTTATTTAATATTCTTAAACATTGCAGAATTCCTACAGTTGATCCATAGGAATGTGTAGGTTCATAGTATCCCAAACTCACAGTAATTTCTGGAGCGTCAACCACAGAGAACCCACGAGTTCCGGAGCATGGACATATTAAAACTTAGGGCCTAAGAATGACTAATACATATGTCCATCTCTATATCCGCTGAATGGGTCTGGAATAGGACCCTGGAAATCCTTCACATTTAAACTGCCTTTCACTATACCACCGTGGGGTCCCTCAGTACTGTATCACCTGAGAACTTTATAGAAATGTAAATCCTCTGCACTAGAGTACCGGATTCTTGAACTCCAGCTGAGGGCTGAGCTCCCAGATCTAATTCAGATGATTCGAATACACAACGTTGGAGAGCCACTGGCTGTTCAGTAGCTCTCCTAGATTATTCTATTTTGCAGTCAGAGTTGAGAACTCTCATTATAGACCAATGATTTTCACTTTTTTACAAATCCCAAACATGTACCTACAAGTTCCATATGTTTCTCAGCAAAGGTCAGGGTTGAGTCTGGCACCCATATTGAATTTTCTTCCCACTAATTCTCCCAGAAGATTCAGTCAGTTCTTGGGCTATGGAAACCATCCATCATTCACCCATGTACTCTGGTGCCTGTAATAGGAGTTTAAATGTTTGTTGGTGTGTTAATTTAGGCAGGGTGTGGTGGTGCATTCCTTTAATATCAGCAGGCAGAGAGATCTCACAGAGATCTCTGTGAGATCCAGGCCAGCCTGGTCTCTATAGTGAGTTCCAGGCCAGCTGGGGCTACAAGGAAGGGAGCCCCTGTCTCAAAAAGACCAAAAGAAAAAAGTATTCTTCACTCCAATATTTTCTAAGGGGGATAAAATATAAAAGCTTGTGTTCCCCTCAGTCTAATATATAATACTTTAAACATTTTTAAGCTGCTATTTATGTACCTGTAGCATTCAGCTGTCTTATCTCTGCCCTTGTGTCTTGCTCTTAGAACAAAAAATCCCACTGAGTTTGATTGGTGATGGAGTCTCTAACAGGAACACAACCTTCCAAATGCCTAAGCAAGTTTTTATCATTATGAAAATAACTGTACAGGGAAGAAGAGGGTAATCATTACTTTAGGTATTGTTCTTCAGAATTAATTTTTGCAATAGATCTACAAACAACATTTGTATTTTTAAAAGAGCTCCTTTATGACAGACACTTGCTGCTGCTTCTTTCTGTTCATGAAATTAAAACAAAGTCAAACAAGAACAGGTTTGGGATTAAAAAAGAGAGAGGAACTAAGTGGAGGTTGGGAAGGAAGCACTGATCATTGCCAAATTTAAAAACACGAACTAGTTGTTGCAGCAAAGACAATCTTGAAGACCAATACCTTGGGAAATTAAAGTCTGAAGTATTTCTCCTTGTCCTCATAAGCATGACTAAGCATTTGGAAAGAAGCAGTGTTTACTGTCTTTCAGATTTCCAGTATCAAATAACTTTGGTGCTACCCAACTTTTCTTGTGTACCTAAGAATATAGGCACAAGCCTGTATGAAGCAGGAAGATGACAACTTCAAGGGCTACCTGAGCTGAGCTGCAGAGTGAGTTTAAGCTGGGCCTGAATAGCTTAGCCAAACTCTCAATTTTTTTTTTTTTTTTTTTTGGTCTTTTTGAGACAGGTGGACTTGCTATGTAAACCATGCTGGCCTCGAGTTCACAGAGATCCGCCTGCCTCTGCCTCCCAAGTGCTGGGATTAAATGCATGAGCCACCACGCCTGGCAGGGCATAAAATTTTAAAAATAAAACCGAAAAGGGCTAAGGCTACAATTTGGCAGTAGAGCATCTGCCTACCTGCCTAGCATGCAGGAGGCCCTAGGTTTGATTTCCAGCAGTGCTCAGAAGGGAGGGAGGAAACAAGGCAGGGAGGAAAAGAGGTTGGTTCAGGATGTGATAGTCCCTCATAGGTCCACAAAACTCTGAGAAGCTTTTCCCTCTTTGTTTCCATCTTACCAAAGCCCGTATCTGTCCACCATTTGATCTCCATGCTCTTGGAGTATTGTCCATCAATTCATGTTACTTTCCCAAGCCTGGAGAGTAGGTGATTTCTGTTACTTTAAACCCAGTTGCTGTGGTGGGGAAGAATACTTCCCAGTACAGGAGAGAATGCTAGCCTTAATGAACCAAACTCATTTTCTTCTTACCTCACTGTATTCCAGGCACTGAAACAATAAATTTTACCAAAGAGGAGAAGTTTAGTAAGTATAGAAGGGGAAATCCAAGTCTCAAATCTACTTCCCCGAGGATTTGGAGAAATTTATGGGGTGTAAAGCAGCACTGTGAATCATGGAGAGTGAAGGCGGGGAGGGGCAAGTCACCAGGTCTATGCATGGATAACTGAGCTTCACGGATCTTAATGGGATGCATGCTCAGAAAATGACAGTGTTAGCATGATCTGAGGTTTTGGCACTTTGAGGAAAAATGTTATCCATCAGCACCAGTGCATACCTGCGATCTCAGTACTCAGGAGACCAAGGCAGGAAAATTTCAAGTTCAAGATTAGCCTGAGCTACATAACAATTCATGAGACCCTTTAAAAAGATAAATAAATAAAAGGTTGCTGGGCGTGGTAGTGCATGCCATTAATCGAGGTCCTGGTTTACATGGTGAGTTCTAGGCCAGCTGGGGCTACAGGGAGACCCTGTCTCAAAAGAGATCAAAAATAAATACATAAATAAAAATTCGCTGTGAGGGTTAATTTTGTCAACTTGACAGAATTTAGAATCAGCAAGCAGGCAAACTTCTGAGCATGTCTGTGGGGGTGTTTATGAAGAGGCTTAACGGAGGTGGGAAGACAGCCTTAATTAGGTGGTGCCATCACCTGCTTGGAGTCCTGCTTTGAATAAAAAGGAGAAAGCAACCTGAGCACCAGCACTCAGCTCTCTCCGCTCCTGACTGGATACAGTGTAACCAGCTGTGCCTATTTCTGCTGCCACAGTTGGAGCTGATCATTGCCATGCTCTTCCCACCAGGATGGATGACATCCTCAAACTGTGAGCCGAAGGAAATCCTTCCCTGGGTTACTTCTCTCAGATATTCTGTCACAGTAACAAGAAAAGTAACTTCACAGGCTCAAGTGAAGAGGTAGTGATTTCAACAAATCTGCAAAGTACACTAGACCACCATTCTCATCATAGTCTAGTATAATCTACAGTAAAGTTACTGGGGGTCAGCTGATTGGCCTCCACAATGACATTCTTATTTTGGTTCTGTTTTGAGACAAGGTGTCACTGTGTAGCCCTGGCTAGCCTGGAACTGACTATGTAGACCAGGCTGTCCTCGAACTTCAAGAAATCTGCCTGCTTCTGCCTTGTGGGTGCTAGGATCAAAGACATGGGCCAGCCATGCCCAGCAAGTGATTTTTTTAAGTTAACTAACAGCAAGCAAAGCTAGGGGCCTATTCAGGTTTTTTCTGGCTTTGCAGTTAGCTCACTACAGTACGGGTAACTGAACTTGAACACCCATGGCATGGCTCCTGCACATTCCTAGACAGAAGCAAATTTGCCCCATTACCAAGGATGTTCACTGGTCAGCAAAGGTCCTAATGCAATTTAAAGAATATTAGAAGTGAAAAGGACTGTAAATGTTATTGATTTCCCCACTTTTATTGATGAAACCAAGGCTCAGAAGTATTAAGTAACTTACTAAGTTTGCAGTATTAGCTAAGCATAGAAACAAAACTAGGTAGAGAAACTGCATAATATCAAGAATCCTCATACAGCTGGGTGTGGTGGCACACACCCAGCACTTGGGAGGCAGAGGCAGGCAGATGTCTGTGAGTTCAAGGCTAGCCTGGTCTACATAGTGAGTTACAGGCCAGCTGGGGCTACAGGGAAACCTTGTTTCAAAAAGACCAAAAAAAAAAAAAAAAGAATCCTCTCATACTAGAGCTTCACCCATGGTCTGGTTCTGTACCTCCCAGAGCCTTAGTAACCTTGTCAGCCAGGGATTTTTTTAACAGAGACCAACCATATACTATTCACTTTGTGCCAGCCAGCCAGTACTCTTAAGAAGATACATATAATCTTTTTTTTTAAAAAATTTTATTTTATGTATATGAGTATTATGTCTGCATGTGTGTAAGTGCACCCATGTCATGCAGTGCCCACAGAGGACAGAAGAAGGTGTTAGATCCCCTGGAACTGGAATTACGGACAGTTGTTAGCCACCATGTGGGTGCTGGGATTCAATCCCGGTCTTCTACAAGAACAGTCAGTGCTCTTAACTGCTAAGCCATCTCTCCAGTCCCAACAAGATACATGTAATCTTTTATTATTTATTTATTAATTATTGGCAGTGCTGGGGATTGAACTCTATCAACTGGCTGTTGTTGTGTGTGTATATAGTGTGGGTGTTGTTATGTTGGGACTCATGAACCATGGCACCATGTGGAGGTCAGAGAACAACTTTGTGGAGGTCGATTCCTTCCACCTTACGAGAGTTCTAAGGATCAAACTCTGGTGGCTAGGCTGTATAGTAAGAGCCTTCATGCCCTAAGTCTTCTCTCCAGTCTTCATCTGACTCGGTTGGACATCCTGTCAAGATCCTTTGTCCTGAGTCTTTGAATGCTCACATCTTTCTTCCACACATTAACTTTGGTGTGTTTTAACTCATCTACAAGAATTGGGAAACACTGAACACACTTAAAATCTTATCCATTATAGCTGGACGTGGTGGTACACGCCTGTAGTTCCAACACTTGGGAGCCTTCATGCCCTAAGTCTTCTCTCCAGTCTTCATCTGACTCGGTTGGACGTCCTGTCAAGATCCTTTGTTCTGAGTCTTTGAATGCTCACATCTTTCTTCCACACGTTAACTTTGGTGTGTTTTAACTCATCTACAAGAATTGGGAAACACCGAACACACTTAAAATCTTATCCGTTAT